AGTTCTTAACCCGAGGTACCACTGTACAGGATTTGGTTAGCCTTGCTGAAGAATTCAGAAGTAATACTGTAGACTGCAGACTATAGTCACCCTGAGTTCTGTTGTCATCCCATTTCTAAAGGTGAGACCAGAGGAGGCAGAGCCAGCATAGACCAAGCTGATTCAGTGACAAATCCAGTAGGATGGAGTCAGAATAAAAGTTGGTTGGTGTACAGTGGAGCCAGAAAGAACACAGTGGGTTTGAGATGCAGGGTAGCAAAATCTTGAAGCTTCCAGCCTTTCAGACTTTGAATACTGGTAACTTAATAGAACCTAAGGTGTTTGACAACCCTACCCCCACCCTCACCCTTAGGTTGAGTTTCTGAAGAAGTTACTATATGTGATAAAGTTCTACCTTTTTGCCCAGTTACATCTGAAGAGCCAAATTGTTATTCTTTATGGCTTCCTATTATTCAGGTGAATGGAGAAGCCACAGCAAATCTTGTACTGGGGCAGAGGCTTCTCAGCCCAAGGGAGAGCCTTGAATGCCCCCATAATGCCATGTGTCTATCCTGTTCCAGTGTATTTATATAATTGCCTGCAATTTGTTCTTCAATGGAGCAGTGCTTTCTGGATCCTCTGCCTCACGTACCATTTCTTATCCAGGCAATCTGTGCTAATTCACACTCCCCATGTGTAGCAGAGGCGAAGCAGAAAAAGATGTTAAAGCTGACGGGGAAATAAAGTCCCTGCAGGAAAGGATGTTGCAGCATCCAGCCCTCTCTAGGCAGATCATTTTCCTCAAGCTGAGGTCATCCTTGGTAGTCAGCCGTGATAACAGTTTTGCCTCTGAGCCCCTCTGCACTTGAAATGCCCTTCCTTAGCCCTGGGGGATTCATTTACCATCGGCTGTGAGCTGCAGCTGTCTCTCTACAATCTCTAAGGTGGCTACGCTTGATTGACAGTATAAATAGATGCTCCTTCCCTTTCTGGGGCATGCAGAGAACCCACACCTTCTTAGGACTGCTTGTTTGTGCTGTTTGTCTCTCAAGTCACTGAAATTATCCAAACAATGGATGGGGGGTGGGGAGCAGGCAGCTGAAAGCACAGGAAATCTCTTTCTTTCCCCTAAGGTGACATTTTGTGGTAAACTCAAATTCAAGTCCTTCATAGGCACATACAGCCCTGCAATAGCAGAGATCTGTCTTGGAATGTTAGTACCCAAAGAGAGTTCACTGTTTTATAACCTGTGTTTAGGAATAACATTTCTGAAAGGTGGATAACAAGAGCTTAGTTCAGCTCTAATAATCCCATTATTCTTGAGCTGGGAATATAAATGTCATTTGCAACCATGGTTGTTCCTCTTGCAATTTACTTAGGGTGTGTTTGCCGTGGAGTGCTTCCCTTTTCAGCTGAATGCCCTGAAGAGCTTGACTTTTGTTGTGTGGTGAGCAAAATATACATCCATTTGAGGGTTTGTCTGGCCTCAGATGGGGAGGGAGTCATTTTCCTCTGCGATTTAATTCCGTCTCTTGAAGGATAGCAGAAAGATCTGTGTGGTAACCTCTTCTTTTCCCAGTGTGGCACAGCTGTCTTCCAGAACCTCCTTATTTGTTTTTTGTTTTTGCCTTTTGAAATGAAAGGCAGAGAGAACAGAATTGATCTCAGGAGATACAACCATAGCAATTGGAGCCAGCCCAGTTGTGAGTAACAGGATAGACCCAGGAGATGCAACCTCAGTCAAATAGCACTGTAGAAAACCACTTTATTCTCTAAAGGTAAAGGTAAAGGTACCCCTGCCCGTACGGGCTAGTCTTGACAGACTCTAGGGTTGTGCACCCATCTCACTCAAGAGGCCGGGGGCCAGCGCTGTCCGGAGACACTTCCGGGTCACGTGGCCAGCGTGACAAAGCTACATCTGGCGAGCCAGCGCAGCACACGGAAACGCCGTTTACCTTCCCGCTAGTAAGCGGTCCCTATTTATCTACTTGCACCCGGGGGTGCTTTCGAACTGCTAGGTTGGCAGGCGCTGGGACCGAGCAGCGGGAGCGCACCCCGCCGCGGGGATTCGAACCACCGACCTTTCGATCGGCAAGCCCTAGGCGCTGAGGCTTTAACCCACAGCGCCACCCGGGTCCCTACTTTATTCTCTACAGACACATTAAAAGAGCTGGACAGCTACTCTAAGTTGGAAGAAGAACGTGCTAGTCCATTTAAAAACAGTAACCTATAACTTTCATTGCAGGGCAGTCTTGCATGCTCTATAGTTAAAGCTGGATGTTTCCTTAAGGAGGTGAATTATTATTATTTTTTAAAAAAAGTCTAAATATTCACATTCTAAGAATCCACATGCTGAACCAGTGGCCACTTGTCCATAGACGATAGCGGAATATCACCACCTCAACCTCCCCATCGGAGTGTGCATGAACTAACATACATGGATGTGCATGCGCAAATGAGAATGTGTGAGAGGTGGGAAGAGAAAGAATGGTGTATCCTTCTAAAAGATCCATGGAAAGTCACAACAGGTTACAAATAACATCCATGCAAAGAGAATGGGAGATGGCATTGGACTATAAAGCATGTGGGAAGAGCTTTAATTTAAAATGAAATGCAATGGAAGCCTTGCCCATGTCTGGATTTTCATTTTTTCATATGATTGCTTCCTCTGCTTCTACCCATTGGATCCCTTTGTCTCTCACAACATGGCCAGAGGCAGAGAGCAGCAGAAGCGATTTTTATTTTTTTAAAAACCCCTATATAATACCTGCTACATTTGGCCCTTTGGTGCCCCAGCCCTTCAAAGTAAGTGATCATGTTCCAAAGCTTTACAATGAAAAGAATGGTAATTGAGGGTTAGATAGAGAGGGATATATATAATTATTGGAGCATATCCTCATATGACACTTCTAAAGGAATATGATTTCGGCTAGAATGCATGTTACAAATGATGTTTCACAATGACACTTTCCCGGGACTCGCAGGTGGGCAAAGGGATTTGGGGAACCAACTGATTTATTTCCGGTACTGTATATCTTTGCTCAGTTCTTCTGTTTGACCTCCAATCTACCTGGTTGTTTTGAGGATGGCTGCGGTTGCAGGAGTTGGGGAGGGGAGCAACAAAACAGAAGCCACAGTATTTTCTCGAAATACAAGCTCACTGTAGTACTTGTCATTTATTCCCACTCCCATTATTTCATTTAGTCAATTAGTAATTTAGAAAGGTTCATAAACCTGTTAATCAAAAAGCTCTCTAAGTGGTGTGCATAATGGAATTGTAAACAATATGCAGCTGAAATTCAGATAACAAATATACATAAAATAATTATTATTAAAATGCAGATAAAATCATTAAAACATTTTAAACAAATATAGGTAATGAAATTATATGCCTGGGTAGGCTTGCTGATAGATTATGGCTCACTTGTTCGGGTATCCACACCGCTCCCATCTGGAGTGTGGCATCCAGAACAGTAGCTGGGATGCGGTGATCCCTGAGCCAAATCTGTTCTTCCAATGGTCTACTTCTCCCATCATTTATAGCCAAAGAGTAAAATAAAAGCATGGGCATAATCATGACTGTAGTTATGGGCCTCCACCCCACCTTCTTCTGAGTAGGGGCACTCTGTTAAAACTTATTTACTGGGGTTCTAGGATCTATATGCCATATCTGCTTCAAGGAACACAATAGAGGAAGTGTCCAGGAAAGGGAAGATGCTGTTTCTTAAAGGGAGCATTTCAGCTCAGTCAACAAACCACAAAAGATGTGACTCTTCTGGTGTCAAGATTCAACATGAGTGTTGCCCACAATGCAGCATCAATCGAACACAGCCTTCACCCAACTAGAATATGTTTTGAACTTAGAACCATTGGCCATGCTGCCTGATGGGAGTTGGAGCTCCCCCAGCCTTAACCTGGAGCTCCCCCAGCCTCATCACCATTTTGCCCTACTCCCAACCCAGGGAGGGAACCATTGCTATGTTTCTAGAACACATCTGAGCCAGGAGAGTGAACCAGTGCCTCAAAGCAGTAGAGGACTGAAGCTGAATCCTGCTAAGACAGAGAAGTTATGAGTGAGTGCTTCCCAGCTCTGAGAATTGGGAACTTGTCCCTTTGAAGGAACAGGTACATAGTTTAAGAGTGCTCTTGGAACAGGGTGGGCTCCATGGCAAAGAGCACTTATCACCAGCTTTGGCTGGTGCATTACCTGGACAAAGATAGCTTGGCCATTGTGACTCATTCACTTTCAAGCTCACATTTGGACTCTGCAATGCATACTATTATTGCAGCATGGATAGCTCAATTGGTTAGAGCGTGTTGCTGATGACGCCAAGGTTGGAGGTTCAATCCCTGTATGGGGCAGCTGCATATTCCTGCATTGCAGGGGGTTGGACTAGGGGGTTGGACTAGACCTCAGGGTCCCTTCCAACTCTACAATTCTGTTATCTATTTGGCACTTCTTTTGTCGCTAGTCTCTAGAGGCTGCAGCTGGTGCAGGATTCTACAACCTACATAGTGCTTTGCCAGTGCTAAGGGATCTGCTGTGGCATAAAGCCAGTTTTAAGGTCTTGTTACTTACATATAAAGCCCTAAACAACTCTGGACCAGATTAAGGCTGAAACCAGGTTAGCCATACCACAGTCTGATGATTGTGAACTTGTGGGTTTTTTACTAGTAGCACCAGTGTTGTGGTGCACTCACTGGTGAAATGCAAGAGGTCCAGTTTAACTGGATTTTGAAGACATACCGGTTTACACAGGCATTCCCTCAATCACTTGACCCAGTTGCCCTGTTTTAATTGCTATGGATTTAATAGGACAGTTTTACTGTATATTTTTAATCATGGATGTTTATGTTTTAATGGAATTGTTTTATTGTGTATTTTAACTGTGCATTCTCTGTTATAATATGTTTTAACAATGCTGTTTAGAAGTTATCTGTGCATTAAGTGGAATAAAAATTAACAAATAAAAAGAAATGGATAGTAACGTGAAATTCTGTTTCTCATCTTTCCTTGACAGGTCACTATGGAAAGGATATTTATCGAAGCGGAGGTCCAGATTTCCATAATTTCATCTCCTCTGGGTTTGTCACGTTAGGAAGAGGACACAGCAAGGGTACAGTGGAAACCATTTTTTGCTAAATAGAAAAGATGGGGTTGAGTCAGTCTCTCACTTGGAAGTTGGTTTGTGTATGATTCCAGTAAGAGTGTGGATCATTGGTTTATGCTGGAACATGGAGTTACAAGTTCAAAAAATGTGCCACCTGTAGAGGGACAGGTGGCATTTTGGGCCTGGGAGAGGTATAGACTGGCAGACAGACATGAGCCAATTGCTGTTTGCAGTCCGACAGGATAAATTGCTCTGCGCTTTCCTGTGTAAATGGATGCAAAATGCCTTCCTTGCCACCATTTCCCAAGAAAACAGAAGGGAGTGTAATGCCACCATAGCCATGGAATAGAAAAGTGGCACCATTCCAAAACTGGGATGATGCCGTAGAAGCAGAGTATGCTCCACTTATACTGTACATGTGTACCACATGGGGAAAAAATGTTTAGAGCTAATGGTTTGGTTAAGCTAATGGTTTGGTACAGATGCAATAATTATGAACAAATCTAACAGAAATGTCTCATGCACAAACCCCACTGAAATTTCATAATAGGGAAAAGGTTTTGCAGCTCCCACGGCTATATTACTCAAGCATATGCATTCTTATACTAGCCGAAAGTTATCTTGCAATTCTTCCAAGGCCATCTAGCTAAAGTTGGGTGGATGGGGACGGGGGTGTCCTTATTCCTTTTATACAGCTCAATGGGAAGTGTTTTGATGTTGGACTAGGGGCTCCCCTGGTCAGGTTGTCTAGCAGCCTTGGGAGCTTTGTTTTGTTTTGCCTTGCTCTGCTTTGCTGTCCTCTTGAACACACCACTGGGCTCCCGTGCACCTGTCCTTTAGAGATGTTTACTTTGGCAGTGCCTTCTGTGGTTCACTTGCTCTTTGCTTGTGCAACCCGGACTGCACAAACTGGTCTTTAGAGTGCCCATGGATTCATGGTCCAGTCAGGATTCATGGATCAATCACAAAGCAGATCACTGGACTACATGGCCTTTGTTCTCCTCTACTTCTTGTCCCCTACACTTTCAGTGGGATTTCTGCATGAGATGCTCCTTGTAGATTGTGCTATAAGGTTGCTGCTCATATTATTCACTACATCTATTGAATGTGCATCAGCATATTCAGTATAATAGGAGTGCACTGTATTCAGATATATTTCCCCCAATATTATAAGTATTTTATAAAGTGATTTCCTTAAGGGTCATATATTTTTGTGTGTCTACCTAATCTGTGAGAGATATAAAGATAGATAGATATATAACATACACACATATATAATATGCTATACAAATAAGAAAACATGTCAGTATCCACATTCTGCAATATGTATGTTCTGTGTAACATTATATGTGTATGCAGTACAATCCTGAGTGTGCTGATGTGGTTATGTCAATAGCAAATTATACATGCCATACGTACCATCTAGCATCATGCTGATGCTCACAGCTAACATTCAGGAACTTGTTGTTACTGGGACCTTAATGACTTGTCTTTTAATCACTCTGTTGCCTCTTTGGGTGGGTTTTCCTTTCAATATAGTGTGAATTCTTATTTTTAACTTTCCTGTGCACATTCTGTTGCCTTCAGATTGTTGAAGAGTGAGTTAGCCACCTCGAAAGACTTGAGGGGAGAGAGGGGCAGCCTATTCTGTGCTGGGCCACTCCCTGGTTCTAAGACACAGCTTCTAGGCTCACTGACCACCAAGTCTCTTCCAGGGTCCACCTCACTCTGTGGCACATTAGCGCATTGATGGTGGTCTGTACTGCTGGGCAGGCACAAGCCACCTTGATAACCCAACATTGTTTCCTGCTGATTCACTGTGAGATTGTTGTACGTTTATATTATAGATGTATATGGATATATTATTTCTACAGAAACAATGTACTGTATGTGGAAACATGCTGTTTCATATATATCCATCCTTGTCGCTGTTGTTGTTCCCATTGATGCTCACCATTCACAAGTTGTTAAAAAGAAAAAGAAAAAAACCCCACACCTTTATTTTGCTGACATTTCTTGCTGTTTAACTCAATGGAAGAAAACCTTTCTCTACAAGTGTCATCCAAAAGCAGTATGAGTTCTGTGGAACTGTCACAGAAGAACCAATATATGTGTGTATTGTCTGTGTTTTGTGTATTCAAATAAAGTTTACTGAGGTGGAGGCAGAGCCCATAGGATCATGCTCTCCTGTTGGACAGGGTGGTATGTAGACGCACGGCACAAAATTGAGAGGAAAGCGAACACCACATATGAACCAGGAACTAACCTTCAGAAAAGGGACTTATGTAAACTTCCTGTGAGTCTGCCCTTTCAAGGATTTCATGGGATGGGAGACAGGTCAGACAGGAATGGAAAGCGCAAAGCACTGAGTTGAAGGTAATAGCCACTGGGACCTATAGAGAGATTCCCAGAAGCATCTCTTCCTTTGTCCCAGGCTTTACCAATTTTTTTCCCTGACTGGCTACGTATTATTGTCATTTCCACTACTCCAGAGGAAGTTACGGGGGATTTTTGCTTAGATATGCAGGCCTGGTTTGACAGGGCAGGAAGGCAGAGGGGAGAAAATGGAGCATAAAATTGATAAGTGATAGCGGCCATGTGCAAGGCAGGAAAGTGGTGAATGAGCTTCTGCTATCTAGCTTTATCCAGTTTTGCCAACTCTCACTGTTTAATTAGGAGCCTTTCTAGAATTGATTTCCCCCTACAGAATGCTGAATCTTCTGCAGTAATGTAATCAATTACAACTATTCTTTATTTTCAAACCTTATTATTTTAGAAAAGCAACTTTCAGGTTTTCCTGGCCACTGAAGGCGGCTTGGAAAAAATATTGTGCGTGAATGCTTAAATAAAAGGAGCTGGGTTTATTTACTTATTTTAATACACTCCCCAATCCTAAATGTGTTTACTCTGAAGTAGGCTCTACTGAAATGAATGGGACTTATCTTCCAAATAAGTGTCTTTCAGATTGTAGCCGAAAGCTGTGCCTTCGCTATTTGAGCTGTTTGAGATTTGGCAAAGCTCTTTGCATAGTTGTGCCTTAGTGTGTGGCAGCTTTTCATCCTGTGTCCACTTGGTTTGGCCTTTTTTGATTTAGGTTAATTATTTTGAATGTTTACAAGTGGACTAGCTGTGTCTTTGGCCTGATTCAGCCATGGCATTTCTTATGTACTCAGCAATACTTAAATGTGTGTATTTTTTTTTAAAAAAAACCTTTTGCAAGTGAAGATGCACTGGTGGGCTTGAGGAATGCATGTCTTCTTAACCCATTAATGAATACTGCTATTTGCATGCAAGAGCCATAACTATGTATACCTGTTTCTCGCTTATCTGACCCATCACTGCTTTAGATGTTGTAATTGCAGGCACGTCTCTTGTCATGTGTATACACACACACACACACACACACACACACACACACACATTTGGACCAAAGCTGTTGTACTAGCTGTAATATCTCAGTAAGTTTACCTGTAAACAGAGATGGTTCTATCTAACCCAGCTTAATTGCAGCTTCATGAAATAAGCTACTATCATTGCAATTCCCTGATATAACTCCCTCTGAAAAATTGCATCTTCATGTTATGGCTTTATCCCTGGTGACTTTACTTCGCATCGGTGTATTGTGTTTAGTACTGTGTTAATTGGAGCTGTTTGTGATCTTGTGTTGGTTTTTCTTTGCACTAGGATACATGTGCCCTCCCCCCCCCCACTCCGAGCTATCCTTTGTGGTGTGGTTGTGCTGCAAGTGCTAAGTATCAATTCACTGGGAGATTGTTTGGGGGTGGAAGCATAGGTACATGATATGCTATACCGAAGGTTCCTAGGCTTTGGTGATTTATTTTTCTGGTATGGCACTCAGCTGGATGAGTCATCTCAGCCTCACATTTCAGTTTATAAAATAGTGGCAAAGCATATTCTCCAAACTATGGGATGGGAATGTGCTCTTGTTTCAGCATAATCAACAAGAGCTCTCCGACCATAGGCCTACTCATGATGCAGGAGCTCCCCGTACCAGGATCTTCCTCACAAATGCTTCACACACTGTTCCATTGCTTTGTTAAGTTTGCTTGCACTGCTTTCATTCCACTGAGAATGCACAGTACAAAATAACATCCACTTAAGGGAGCTTACCCTGCTTTTGCCAGATGCTCACCATTTATGTATCAAGGAAAAATAGGCACACTCTAAGCAGTTAATTCACATGGCAGTTGTCTGTGCAGATGTATAATCCATTTTTCTCAGTCTACAAGCAAAGACACCTTCTTTCTAATTATCAGGCGCAGTTCTGACATAACTGCAATGTCTCCCACTATGTGAACAAGCCTGCCCTCAGGCTCATAGACCCACCTCCCCTCTCACATGCTACAGGAGGAGAGAGAAAGCTGCTTCTTTTGCTTTTAAGCAAATCATAGTTCCCTGTGATGCGACCATGATTTCAAAGGTGGAATTGACATCCGGGGGGCGGCGCTCTGTCCTGGATCTTAGGCAAGTCAATTGAAAAATCATGTTTTGGGGGCATTTTTGTAAGAGAGCGAGAGAGCGAGAGGGCTCAACAACTTTTAGGTTTGATAGAAGAACAAGCCAGGATCTGAAACCATGGTTCTGATAGTAGCTTTGTTCTCACTTACCATATTTTAAGCAAACCAAAGTTGGGTTGAGTTTCTGGAATGACAAACTGAGTATCTATACCAGGCCTGCACGTTTTGTGATGTACTACAGCTGAACACAGCCCGCCAGTGATATACTGTGGTCTGCTTTGGGTATTTGACAATCTCCTGGATTTTGCTGTACCTGGATAATAGGGGGGCAGGAACCAGGCCATTTATTGAGCCCTGTTGGAATGTTTTAGGTTAATGGTGGGAATTTTTGGCTTGGTGGGTCACAAAACATGCAGGTCTGGGTAACAGCTATGTACACGCATAAACACAAAAATGGTCTAAAATACCATATTTTTCGCCCTATAGGACGCGCGGCCCATAGGATGCACCTAGTTTTTTTTGGGGGGGGGAATAGAGAAAAAAAAATTATCCCCCCCCAGCCGCAGGAACTCCCGCAGGGCTCCCTAGGCTGCAGATAGCTTCCTGAAGCACGGGGCGCTCTGCTTCAGTGCGCCCCGCGCTCGGGCAATCAGGCTGCTATCCGCAGCCTAGGGAGCCCTGCAGGAGTTCTGATTCAGTGCGCCCCATGCTCGGGCAAGCAGGCTGTGGATAGCTTCCTGAAGCCTGGAGAGAGAGGGGGGTCGGTGCACACCGACCCCTCTCGCTCTCCAAGCTTCAGCGAAAGCCTGCATTCGCCCCATAGGACGCACACACATTTCCCCTTCATTTTTGGAGGGGAAAATGTGCGTCCTATAGGGCGAAAAATACGGTAACTGTAAACTTTTTTTCAGAAGATTGCTTCTTACCATTCCTTTCTTCTTCTTAGCAAAACCATGGGTGCAGGTGTTCTTTGTGCCAAGCTACCCTTGGACAATCTTTGCAGGATTTCTGCTATTAAGTAACAAAACAAAAACACCAAACTAGCATGGCTGATTATTGACAGCAGGAATTGCTCAGGTTTTGCATTTCCTCGCTCCTTTTCATTTAAATTGTGTTAACCTTATTCCGTAACTCTGCACAATGCAATTTGTTTTGGCCATTGAGTTTCTCTGTTTTTGAAGAATCAGATAAAGTGCGCAATATATAGCCAATGTGATTTCCTGGTGATTCATGAAGCCAAATGAAGGAGTTTATCCCCATTGGAATACTATCAGTTAAGACTCTTGAGTGCTCGTCCACATTTCTGCTTGTCCTCTGCTTTCTAGGTCTGGGTGCAGACAGTTTTGCAATTTCCCCACTGGTTTCCCTGGAAAACACTCTTTGCCACTGAATCAAAGCAAACAACAATCTGCAGACAAGTTTTTAATGTTTGATGTTTTATTGTATTTTTAATGTTTTGTTGGAAGCCACCTAGAGTGGCTAGGGAAACCCAGGCAGATGGGCAGGGTAATTATTATTATTATTATTATTAGGTCTAATTCAGCTATAAACTGTAGGTTTTCCTGGAGGAAAGTGGGGCAAGTGGAGGTGTGGACAAGCACTGTCAGAATGCTTCATTTCCTGTTTCCCCCTCACACCCTTTACTTCACCTCAGATAAAAGTTGCCTCTTTTCATTGGCCCCTTCCACTGTCAGGGGCAATTCTGCAACAAATGTCCCTAAGAAGCAGAGTCCATACTCACCCACACCCTCTCTCCCCAGGCCACACATCTCAGCTGGCCTTGCTCCACACCCTCCTTGAGTTTGTTTGTTTTTTGGTCTAGCTGAAATATGTCCTTGAACTCTGATAATGACTCTTGCTTACCTGGGTAGAGGACAAAGCAGGCTGTGGAGGTGCATGTAGATGCTAGCCTACAGTACAAAGGTGAAATTTGCATTCGTTGCTCCACCTACATCTTCTTCTGGCCTCGCCCACCACTGGCATGTGGCTCTCGGAATGTTGTCCAGAAAGGAATGTGGCCCCCAAGCTGAAAAAGATTTTCCACCCCCCACCTCTATTAAAAGGTGTAGAAATATACACAATGGGAGGACTTGGATCATATATTATTGTGCTCACAATACTTCCAAATAGTATTTTGGTTTCTTAAGACATATGCTTCGTGAAATGAGGAATATGTGTTTCAAATTCCATTTTATATTGGGGGAATATTACATCAGGCTCTGCATCTAAACACATATAAAATAAACAACCCTCAAGTTTCTTGCTCTCTAACATCTGCTGCTTAGGTTGTAGGTTAGTGTAAATGGTGTTAGGAGCACAGGAATCTCACTTGAATGGATGCAAACATTATACAAGTCCTTAACTATTCAACAGCTAGCATTAGTGAGCTATAAATGAAGCAGCCCCTTTCTACCAGAGCAATCCTGTAACTTCCAGAAATCAGTTATCTCACTGAGGATGCCTGCCATCTATGAAAAATGAGCAGGGCAATATTATGAGAGAAAAACACAAAGAACAGTAGGGAGTTTGGAGCAGGAGACTTGAAAAATATAGAGTATTTTCTGTGTGTTTTGTATTGCATGTCTATATTTTTATTGCACCTAATTGAAACTCTTTTGTAAGCTGTTTTGTGTGTGTTTCGGTAGAAAAAGTGGATGACGATTAAGTCAAATGAAAGTAAGCAAAGAGAAGACAGGGACATGAAGACAGGTAGATGGGAGATGACAAGAGTCGGGAAAATGAGATTAATAACATGACAATACACATACCCCACATATGGCAATGGCATTTGTTCCAGCATAGCATAAAGAGCACATGTGATAGCATGCAAGTGAAGAGTTGCATTAGACATTGCTTTTTAAGCCAAAAAAAGAATGTTTACCTACATGCTTGTCTCTGATACACATATCCTATTCATTTCAAAGTGTAGTGGTTAACCTGATGACCTATCCCACAGAAACCTACACAAAATTGTAAAAACAGACAGAAAGCTAGAATGTGGGTGAGAGACTTTTCTTCAGGATCAGCCTGCAAAATCCACAAAGTCATGGATGGCACTCTCCCTTGTCTTTCTTGTCCTCCCATTTTCTCCCTAAGTGCTGTCCAGGGTCCTGATGTCTTTTTCATGTCATCTTCTAGTAATACAAACTTCCCCCTTTTAGATTGCAGTCTCAGTGTTGATTGCTCCTCCGTTGCATACCTGAAATAAAATAAACCAACTAAAAACCACTGTGTAGATATGAATCTGTATAAATGCATGTGTGGCTATGTCCCTCTTTGTGTCCACCCTTACCATCAAGGTTCTGCTCACAGGAATACATGATAAGCTATCACACTTTCAAGGAGTGCAGTTAGGACCCTCTTTCACTGTGTCACTTCATCAAATGTCCCTGTGTTCTCAAAATGGTTCATTAAGCACTTCATGTGCTGCCAGTTAGATATAGTTAAGGAAAGCTGGAAGGGGCACATAGTCTCATAGCAGCAGCCAAAGTTCTCCATGAATAAGCAATGCAAAAATTGAGATTTTGGCAAGTACACTCCCAGTTATCATTAACACTTGTTAGCAAGATCACATTGGCATGGGGAGAGCAAATTGCAGTCATCTGCATCCCAATGAATTAGTTTATTGTCACCCAATATAATATCTATTCATTGTGATTGCATGAAGTGTGTGTACTCTGTTTTCTGATTTCAAATTAATGGAAGATTGTCCAGATTCTGCAGCCAATTATATATGTTGCAGACAGAACAGCTAGACTAGGGAAGGGTGATTCATAGTTAGTGAGCATTACCAAAGAATTCCTGCTCCAGTGGAAATCTTATTTATGGTAGCTTATTTATCTGCACTGTCTCTGGACAACTTGTTTAGTATGGGGCAGCAAAAGGACAACAGGAAGGGAGGTCTGTTTCAGAGACAGGCCAAGGACCTATAAAGATGCTTGAAGCAAGACATGTGCTCATAAGCATATTACAAGGCATAGAAAGATCTGAAGCAGAAGGGAAGAAACCACCAACTATGTGCCAGCATTATATATTTCATATGCTCAGGGACAACAAACATGATAAAGGGAAATGCAAAACTGAACTAAACCTAGCACATAAGCTATCATTGTTGCTATGACTGTATTTTACAGGATAAGTAAAACTCTACAAGAGTAACAAACATATCACTGTACCATTACGCAGATTTTGTTTCACTGTGTGGTCTTTTTCAGATATCCTATCACAAGGCAGAACTGTCATTGTACAGTTAGCAGGTAGTGTTAGAATTTTCTCTGTTCCCACCATTGCACTATGTAGTACCAACTCTGCACTTGGAATTTCTGGGTCTTATCACTTTCTATTTTTATTTTGAAGTTGGCGCTCTTTAGCAAGTTCCTGAAGATACCAGCAATGAATCTCTGCTAGCACATTCAGCTTTGGCATTGGGGCTAAAGGTAAAATTGCAATGAATGACAGCTATTAATAAGAGATAGGGGGAAGGAGGCACTGGCAATTAGGATGAAGATTGTAACCTAAAATACTTGACCTCTGCACAGGCAGCATCTGAATTTCCACTGAGTGATCCCAGTAGGCCAAGGAACTCTGAGGGTGGAGCCAAGGGAGAAGTTGGATTATCAAGGTGTATGGGGAGCACCCATTAATCCTGAAATATAGCAGAGAAGCTAAATGCAGCATTTGCATCTGCTTTTACACAAATATCAAAGAGAAATCTACAGTTGCAACTATTATTTTTCAGATGGCAAATTCCACAAAACAGTTCTAGTCATATAGTAGGATACTGTCTAGAGTATAATCATCCAGGCAGGCAGGTAGTATTTTTTCCAGGTTTATTGGCACAAATGTTTCTGAGGCATAATTCCTTCAAGCATGTCAGTACATTAAACCTTTAAATAAAGATTGGTCAAATACATTACCACATTCAGCTAGTGACCTCAAAGCAGCTAATAACATTTATAAACATAGCAGATAAACCAACCCCATAGCAGCAGTACTCAAGAAGCAAAACAACCAACCCCACCAGCCAATGCTTAAATGGCCATGTTTGCACAATAAAATTAGTTTAGATAGCTAAATCAAACTGTGGTGATCTCACATAGCAGCATTTGGAGAGAGAAAGACAAACATGAAATTCTGTGTCAACATTGGGATCAGACTGGGGCTATGCCCCCAATTCCAGACCTGGAGGATGCACTCTATAGCTGAAAGGCCGCAGGTGTCATGTGTCTGTTTTGCTCCAGTTCAACACCTGGTGCTTAACAACCTATTGCCTACTCAACAGAGCAATCTTGGAATCTTTGTGAGATTTCAGATCCCAGTGATGCAGCAACCAGAAGGGAGAACTGCGTTATTAGAAAGGGGGAAAGCAGCAATGTACAAGGTCTCCCATAATGTTCTGTATAAATAAATTGTATTTCTTCAACACTCTGTTGAAACAAATATTGTACATACAAATGGAGAAGGCATAGATAAGAGGAATAAAAAGGACTGGACACAGTGGGACTTACTTCCAAGTAGAAGTGCCATGAGTTTTCATTGAGACCAAGAGATAAGCTAAAGAATGAAACAAAGAAATGTTTGGATTTAAGCTTTTTGAAGTCAACACTCTGCATTGGATTGCGGCTACTCAGTTTAAAAAGAGAGACAGAGAAATGCTTTTGCATGCATCACACAGCACCCCTTTGAATTACTCTTCCATTACTAAGTCTGGTGGAAGATAATATCATAATTCAGGTGGTGGAGAAGAGATACTCATGGAAGACAATAACCTGAGTGACTATCATATAGCTCAGCTGGGGCATGCATACTGATGTTCATGGTATTCTTGTCATCTTAAACTGGTGAGGCCGGAGGTGATGGCAAAGAGTGATGTATTCTGGTTGTATACACTATTGTATGCACTGTTGGTTTGAAATTTAGCGATTATTTTCTTGCTAACTTTAAGTCACTAGTAGAACGATGTGCAAATATCTATGCAGAAAGAGAAAGAGGCAGAGACAGGAATAAGAAACTGTATCAAGTGGGGTATACAGAACTTTTCAAACAAGTTTCTGTAAACATGTTGATTTTTAGGTCACCGGTAAAATGATGTCTCATATAGATAATGCACAAATGTCTATATGCCGGAAGAGGAAGAGACAGTGAGGAATTCTATTGAGTTGGCTAGATAGAACTTCCCAAACAAGAACCCATAAACTATCATTTCCCACACTCGTCCTTTTTATCCTTTTATCCCATATATCCTTATACTGAAAAAAGAATAGCGTCAGAGGCAGGCCAATCTTAATGGCATAAGAAATAGATTCAGATTTAACTTATGTTTACATGCCCATTTTATTTAAATAGTTCCTGCTGATAAATCAGTATTTGCACCTCCATAACCCACCTTGGGAGATGGGAGTAAACCATCTTTTTCACAGTCTGTCTATGAAGCTATGGTTTATATGGAGGTAACTTGCACTAACTGGTAAACAGTTGTCTAACCCAGTAGGCTTGAGAAAAAGCAACTGAGGCTACTGACTGACTTTCTTTTATAGCCACATGCCACCACTTTGTTGCATACCTGTGTCTTTAAGGCATCCCTTTCCTCCATTTTCTCTGCCAGTGGCTTTATTTTCATCTTCACAGTTATGTAGCAATCTATTTCACCCTAATAAATTCCTCTTTCTTTGCCTTGTGTATTATGTCAAAATAAATCACACAACTCAAAGGGAAAAGTCAGTCTATTATTGAGTGCCCTTTCCCAGGAAGGATTCTTCCTACTGAGCTACATGGGCTCTCTATTGTCACTAGTCTTTAAGCGTGGGGATTGTGGGCTGCCTCATCACATTGCTTACATGTGTAAAAGCAAAAAAGGGGGAGGGCTGCTTCAATATTCTCTTGGAAAGGGTTTCTCTTTCAGTATTTATTGATCAGTATTTGGCCATATAAGTACATCTGCTGCTCCTGCTTAGATCTCATTTAGTGCTTTAAAAATGGTGCTTTGCTCACAAAGGATTTTATGAGAAATTCAATATTCTCAAAAGGAGAGGAAAAAATCTAATGTCCTTTCCACTGCTTCGTTTGTAATTAATCCAAACTGGACTTCACAAGCAGTAATTTTAGATATTATAGAGTCCCCCACCTCTGCCTCTTCTGAGATGTCTGCTGTGGCATGTGTCTGAAAAAGTGTTTTTTCCTTCTTCTTCCGAGATAATGTTTTATTCATACGCAGCTTTAAGTCATGTTAACAAAGTAATTGATTAAGCAATTAAGCATTCATACAATCAACAGATTAATGTTTAAAATAACAGTTCTATTTTTTTAAAAAAAAGAGAAAATCCACTTTGAGAAGGGGTGTCAAAGTGGTAGTAGGCAGGAGGTGCTGAATAACCCCCCCCCCAATCTTCTGAATCCCAAATTTCCCATCCTGAAGTGGCTCGCCTTAAGGGAGGGGGAGGAAGCAGGCAGGCAGCCTTCCTGAATTTGCTGCATATTTTTGCATGCCATATTTTTGTTAGACCTTGATAATCCCAAGGAAGTGAGAGGAGACTGGAAATCTTCCAAGCAGCAGCCTCACAGGAATAAACACAGGCAAAATCAAGGGTTTGCTCGCTTGCTCGCTATGGTAGCTTCACAGCACAAACTCACAAACAAACCCATGAGCCTGTAATGCTGCCTTCAGTAGTTTTCATGGCTGCTCCAGATATAATTCTTCATCTTAAAGGCACAAGTGAAGAATGTAAATAAAATGCATCAAACATTATTGCAAGCATCTATGCAGATCAGGACCAGACACAATCCCCAGGCAAAGCCAGGTATTTTGCACTCTATTATGCACACAGTTATGATGTCACAGGACTAAGGAAAAGTAACAGTCCTCACCAATAAACCCAGATAGAGACTAGAGACAATAAGAATATTTACGACAATGATGTATCTCCATTCATTTTTCCTAAGCTGAGCTGGCCCAGCTCTGTAACCCTCTGAACACAAAACGTTTTGGGTCCATACTTATCCTACTTGCTATTTTCTGCATTAGTTCCAGTTTCAACATATTCTTCTCAGATATGAATGACCAAAACTGGACACTTGTTTCAAGCAATGCATTATCTGAGCTTAGTATTGGAAATGCATGCCCTAATAATTCTGCATGCTGATAACAACTAGCAAGTCAAGGATCTCTTCAGCGGCTTATAGTTATTTAATGGCCAGGATCCCATCTCCAAACGCTCCACCTCACTTGTCTTTTCCTGTTGACCACAACATTATGTATTTCCCAAATGCATGACTATATAACTTTGTAAACTTAGGGAGAAATTCAACATCACGCTTAAATGATTGTTCCATTAGGGAAGCATTTGGCTTCCCTGTTCTGAGCATTCTCCTGAGCTCCCCGGAGTCAATTTTAGTGGGTGCTGGGGAAGAAGGGTGGGAAAGCTGTGTTTTATATTGTAGCAATGCCAAGATGAGTCACACTGAGGGTATGGACTCCACTCTTCAAATAAAGTGTAAAAAGATAGCGGCATATTTCTGCCTCTCCCCATCTCCAAAAGAAAAGTTCACAGGCTAATAATCTCTTTAAGTTAGTGGTACAACAATGGAGGCTGCCTTGTTTTATCTGAAGTGAATAGACTCATGGCTCAGTTAGTTCATTTTACCTCACTAGTACTCTGGCTGCAGACCATAATTTGTTAACTGGAATATGGGGCTTCCATATATTTTGTCCAGCTGAAGGGCCTTGTTCACCATGGAATTTTTAAATTTTCCTTGCAGTATTTTGCTGCATATAGCTATTACATCTCATGTGTCTTCAATGATGTTGTGGTAAGCATCGTGAAATCAGTGGTCTGCTTCAGCCACATGCAGCCACATGGGAAAGTTGGAAATAATTTGTCAGATCTTGTGCTGTTTGACTCTTGGCCTGCCATCATCACATAAACAACTCAGTTTCTCAGGCTGTGAGCATGTGAACATTTGACACCTTCCATGACACATTCAAGTTGCCCAGTTTATCAATTATCAGTTTCAAGAGCTGAGATCAGACACCTGTGTTTCTGAAACTGAACACTGGCTAGTTTCCCCAGGTCATTTTGTACCTACAGAGTTGGTTGAGGAAGCATGTCTCTTAGCAGTTTCTATAACAGCTACCTATTACTTACTTGGGAAGTTTTGAAACACCAGTCAGATAATTCACAGGTCCCTGAGGACAGTGTAACACAAGTCTTCAGGGAGTAGGTGAGGGAGGCAGCTGTCTTGTTTGGAGTATTCACAACTTTTTAGTGCTTTTCAGGGATTTTTCTTTATTTTATTTTTAAAATCCTCTTTCTCTTCATTGAGACAGATTTTTCTGCTAGGATGTCCAAGTGACAATCACAATACTCATCATCCTCTGGGTTACAATGGGAATGTAGGATCGAGTCAGATAAAGGAAAAAGCCTTGATGCTCATTTTGTCCAACCTTTCTGTTATGCTTATGGCAAGTTTCCTGTTTCTCCCACCCTACAATATTTTTGCTTAATCTTGTGTGAGGTTCCATTCCTACTCTTTTAAAAAATTAAAAACTGATTTCCTTCCAATACATTTTCTGCTCCTCCAACATTCAAGGATATTGTGGGTATCATCTTCTGTTAGTGATTGAGTTTTAACCAAGAAGCTTTTACTGGCAAAGAAAAGAAATTGCTCAGCATTGGTACTTTCTAGTGATATTGTAATCTGCATATACTTATATCTGGTAACATGCTGATGTGAAGTTGGACACACCTCTTCAGTGGCCCCATTAATGTGAATGTGATGGGGACTTACTTGGTATTAGTGTGGATAAAAATATGTTCCTGTTAGCTTCCCTGGTGCCATGGAGGACCCCATTGCAGAACATGCTACAATTATTCCAGCCTCTGATCAGGGACATGATGAATCATCATGCTTTTTTTCTTTCTGGTGGCACCCATGCTTGTCCCAAGATGTAAGGTGGAGCCCCATCAATTTCCAATGACTAAGGACATGGCATGACTAGAGAAGAAAAGCTTATGGTACAATTAAGAAGTATTTGCTCCATCAGGGTGACAGTGATGAATCACAAGATTGCCAGCCTTCTCCATATGTTTCCATTCCTTCTCATCAAGCACAGTTTATACCAACTTTCCTGAGTCCTTCTGTGGTGGGAGATCTTTTCTACTCATTTAGGCTTCCTGCATATTTGTGAACCTTGGGCCTCCATGAATAGGAAATGTTTCCTGCTGCAGAAGTTATTCTAGGGGAAGCTGGCACAAGCTGCCCAACAATGGAAGTGGGGCTAATGGCCCTGCAGCCCTTTACTACTTACATTGCCGCTTTATAGCTCGAGTGCTGGAAAATGACTTATGCTTGCTTCAGCACAAGATTGGCTTATTCCTATCTGACTTTCTGAGCAACAATGCAGGGAAGTTAAGGCATGATACTGCAAGCATTTTTACACTTTCTATTTATGGAATGAATGCTAGCTGTGGTAGAGCTAGTCCAGGGGTCAGCAACCTAAGGCCCATGGGCCACAAGCAGCCCACGGGGGTCGTTTAACTGGCCCATGAGCCACCCCT